GTTTAGTGGTGGGATGGCAGGGGTAGGTTAAAGGTTGGACTCAATGATCTCAAAGGTCTTTTCCAACCAAAGTGATTCTATGATTCTATGAATTTGTCCCCATGCTGGAGAAGGACCACATTCCCTTCTGGAAAGTCTGCGCTGAAGCGTCTGTGCTAGCACGCCCGGCTCCGGCTGGCTGCGGGCGCTCGGCGCAGATCAGGGCCACCACCGCGCTGACTCCCACCACATGCCCAGCGCTTCCAGTGCAGGGTGGATTTTGCAAACTGGGTTTCAGTCCCTGCGGCATTTTCCTAGGAAGTGGGGAGGTGGCTGCACCTTGGCTCCCAGCGCCTGGAAGGGTCCTACAAGCTGAGGATGGGTGCCGAGGGCAATCTCTCTCCCTCCTTGCACACCGGGGCTGGCTCTTGGAGGTGAGGTGCCGTGCTTGCGTAGCCCGTGATCAGTCTTTCCTCCACAGATGCTGTACAATGACACCATCAGTGCCCTTAAAGACCTGCTGAAGAGCCTCCTGCGGAGGAACTTGACCCCCCATGGGCTGCAGGACATGTTTGCGGTAGGTGCAGCCTGGCCTCGGTGGCTTCTTCAGGGAGAGGCAGGGAAGCCAAGGCGCCCGCCTGCTGACCAGAGGTCGCCAGGCAGAGCCAGCTTTGGACCTGGAGTGGGAATTAGTGAGACAGATCCTCGCTTCTCCATGTGGCGTGAGGTCTGGTGGGACCCTGGTCCCCTTCCTGCAGACGCTGGGCACGCGGCACGGCCGCTATGATGGGGCGCTCGTGCAGCTGGTTGGGGCAAGGTCTCGAGGGGAGGAAGCACGCGATTGCGTTGCCCGAGAAGGGTGGCCAGCGCGTGGCTGACGAGGAGATCGCTGGTAGCAGGGGGGGGACACGCACGCTCAGCCTCGCGAGCAGGCAGAGACCCACCGTTGTCCCAAAGATGAGCCAGGATACGGGGATGGGGTCGGGGCACCACGGGGCGCTGGGCTGACGGGTGCCTTGGCTGCGCACCCCAAAGCAGCCGAGCTTCTGCTCTCCTTTCTGATGCCTTTCTCCTGCAGCACTTGGGCCCCTGGATCAAGTCTAGCAAGGAACACGAGCGGCAGCGAGCCGTGGAGGTCAGCGCCGCCTTGCTGGACTTCTACCTGAGCAAGCTGAACGTCAGTGTAAGTAAACCCCGTGCTCGAGCGTCCGTCTTCCTGGGTGGGTGCTGGGCCATCGTGTCTGGACCGTGCTCTTGCCCAGAAAGGTTGGACCAGGTGATCCCTGAGGTCCTTTCCAACCTGGGATTCTGGGATTCTTCCTGCTGCTCTCAGCCTCGCTGGGGCTCGTGTGTACGTCCCTCCCCGCCGGCGCGAAGGTGCGGTAGGGAAATGCTGTCCCCGCTAAAAGCGTCCCCATGCTCCCCTCGCTAGCATCGCCTGTGTTTGTCACCCCTGCAGACTGTCATCCCCTTCTACAACCTCGGCGTCCTGATTGCACTCTTCTCCCCGCGCTGCTCGGACTCCCTGGCCAGCGTTCGCCAGCACGCCGTCGACTGCGTCTACTGCCTGCTCTACATCCAGCTCTGCTATGAAGGTGGGCGTGCGGGCGGTGGAGGGGGGTTCCGCCGCACGGGCGGGCGGTTGGGGCCAGCAGCAGGAGCCCTCTTTTCCGCGGCTGGGCAGAGGGGTGCACATCCCACCCCTCTCCACGTACGGGATCCCCAAGGAGCGAGCTGCGAACGCGGTTTGCCGCAGAAGCCAGGGCTGGTGGAGGACACCAGTGAAGCGCTGGGCTTCCAGAGGCTCTCGCCAAGGCTGGGGTGCCAACCAGCGCGTTTCTGAGCCTGCCGTTGCGCCTGGCATTCTCCCTCTCTCCAGGAGAGGTCAGTCCTCCTCTTCAGATGGAGGCATGGAGACAAGCACAGCGCCTACAGCGCCGGGAGAGGACTTGGTCTGGGTCCCGCTCTCTGGAGCGGTGTGGCTCCTTGCAGGGCCAAGCTCTTCTGGCCCTTGGCAGCAGCTTTGGCTTCTTGGCTCCTTCCTGAAAGCTGGGCCAGCTTATGAGTAAAACCCAGCTCTCTGCAGCGTGAGGGTGTAAGACGCGAGGAATGCGGTTCACCGAGTGTTCCCTCTGAATCCAGGCTTTGCCCGGGATCACAGAGATGAGATGGTGGAGGGGCTGAAAGCCCTGAAGAAAGGCCTGGAGGAGCCTGACTTCACCGTTCTCTTCCATACCTGCAACAACATCGCCATGGTAAGGTGGGGGGAAAATCCAGCACGGCCCTGCTCTTTGCAGGGTGGTGGAGCTGTGGAGCGGGAGGACTTGGTGCCTCCTCTGTTCTGACCAGCCACACGGGCTGGAGGCTGCTGGGGAGCCCCAGTCTTGCACCAGGAAACAAGCCCCTGCAGTCTTCTCCTCCAGCTGGGTCCTGCCCTGGGGTCACCACAACCCCAGGCAGCGCTCCAGGCGTGGGGCAGAGGGGCTGGAAAGCTGCCCGGGGGAAAAGGCCCTGGGGGGGTTGGTCGAGAGGGGGCTGGATAGGAGGCAGCAGGGTGCCCAGGTGGCCAAGAGGGCCAGCGGCATCCTGGCTTG